CCAAGTGCTGCGGTTGAGTAGCAGTGCCTGCCGTGGTCAGAGGAAGGCAGGACGTGGCCGCACACCTGCCACTGTGTGCCCTCCCTCTAACGTCCCAGGGGGTAAAGCTGTTGTGGAGAAGAGCCACATGCTCAGCTGCCAGTGCTGCCCGTGGCAGCGAAGTCAGAGGTGCAGAACAGACGTGGAGGGCATCCCTTCCTCTCCCACCAGGAAGCCACTTCCCGGCAGGCACAGGAGACGGGGCCGGAGGTGAAGAGGGCACTCTGAAGGCGTCTGGAGCAGACTTCCTGCCTCTGGAGCCTCGCTGTGGCTCCGGGGCCTTCCTCTGCCAGAGACCCCCAGGTCTGCCCTGGCCCCCGAGTAGTACCTGCTCCCTGTGCTGGGCAGGCACTGGAGGCAGGAGCCCCTCTGCCCATCCTAAAGGCCTGGGCGGGTGTCCTGGAGTCCAGCCTGAGCCTCCACAGCGAGCCTGGCCCCAGGAGGAGAGCCAGGCAGAGCCAAGGTGCAGGGCGCCCAAGTTTCCTGGTGCTGACAGACTGCCACTTACCAAGGGCTGGGCTGACACTTGCTCTCCCGTGGTTCTGTCGAGCGCAGCGGCACAGCCCGTCACCCAGCTACTTGGGAGGCCGGGGAGGGGAATCATGGGTTCTCCGAGCCTAGGCAACTTAGCAAACTCCCAAAATAAAAAGGGCTGGGTGTAGCTCCGGTAGGGTGCCTGCCTCACGTGCGCCAGGCCTTGGGTTCCGTCCCCAGCACCACAGGCGCAAAAGTCAAAGGTCTCTCTGGACTAACAGCAGGGTGGAAGCAGGGCTGCCCCCTGTTGGGGGCTCCTTTCCTTCCAGCCTTCCAACAGGCACCCCTCAGGAACAGGCAAGAGCTGCAGACGGCAGGTGACCCCTGGTGCACGCAGCCCAGCTCTGGGGTCCACCGTCCCTCATCTGCCGGGGCACCCGCGTCTCCAGCAGCGTTTTATCGAGTCTGTGTCTGACGGACGTTGGTTGCCCTGGCACCCTTTCTGGGGCTGCGTGGCTGTTTCTGTCACTGTCCTAGAGAGGTTCTCCTCATGGTGCCCGCATCTGTGGTCACACGCCTCGTGCCTATGTGCACAGGGCACCCAGTGCAGGCGCAGGAGGTGCTGGCATCTCAGTGACACTAGCTGTGCAAACACACGCCTTCCTCCTGGGGTGCAGGTCCCCTGGCTCTGGTCCGAGCTGGACACCATTCCGATCGTCCATCCTCAGCTTCCTTTGGTTGCATGGCCTCCCTGCTGGCCAGCCTGTGCCTGGGAACTCCCTGTTCTGGCCTGTGTGTGCAGCGCCCTGCAGGAGGACCCAGCTGCCTTTGCCCACTGGATGCCCAGCCCCAGCTGGCCTCTGCCAGTCAAGTGCCTCCTCCTGGCTGTGGACGTCAGCCCACACCATCCCAGCTGGGCAGGCAGACCTGTCCCAGGCACATCTCCTCCCACAGTGTGGCTCAGAGAGAGCGGGGTCACGGAGCTCCTCCAAGTTTTGGCGGCCACCTCCACTCCAGGTTGCAGAGCTGGTCATGGGGGCCACACCCACAGGGCCTGCTGGGCGCAGATGATCAGCCTGTGTGCAGGGCACGAAGAGCAGGAAGAGTTGTCAACACAGCCACATGGAGTGGCTCGCCCTGCCTCTTGTCAGAGAAGACGCTGGACCCCACCTGCCCCACACCATCCAGGTCCACCGGGGAAAGTGCCTCCGTGGGCCACACTGGGCCCTGCTGCGTGGACTCTGCTGTGTCGGGTTTCTGTTCTCGCGACTAAAAGGCTCAGGGGTCACTCCAGTTAAAGTGGGCTGACTGGGCTGCACAAAATAACCACAAGAGACAAATACCTTTTTCTTTGGGGTCGCTGTGACGGCTCCTCTGACCTTAAGGGTCCGCAGAGAGAGAGAGAGAGAGAGCGAGAGCACTCGCTGACCCCTTTTATTGAGGAGAAGCTATTCAAATGAGGCAAGGGGTCAGGTTTCAGGGGGCTGAGTATCTTCATGATGTCCACTGTCAGCAGGTTGACTGACACCTGGGTAGGCCACACCCAAGGGCACAGTAAGAGAAGGGGACACACAAGGCACTTCCATGGAAGATTCTACCCTAAACAGGTCAAGGGGTTGTATTACAAAGGAACAGGTGAGCATAGCTTCACCCATGGGGCTGTAGCAAGACACACCCATGCACAAGACACCGACCCTCGCACCCAAGAAGGGTGCCACATTTCTGCGACTGAGCACCTCAGCACCCAGCCGGGAAGTGTAACTCAGTCACATGTAAGGTTGGCCTCCCACACTGTTGCACTCACTTCCTGTGGCCGCAGCAGCCCCCATCAGGGTCTTCGCAGAAATCCCCACAGTCCGTCATTTGTACAGTGAGTGTGCATTAGTAACAGTGAGGAAGCCCCGGAGTCCTGTGGCGGGAGAGCTTCCTCCGGGTCAGGGCCTGGGCTGCCCCCTCTTCTGAGCCAAGTGCAGGGTGAGCAGCCCGAGGACAGCGAGCCCTGGCTCTTCCAGAAGGGCCTCCTCTGCTCTGCAGCCTGGGCTCGGAGTCCCCAGCCTCACCTCCCCAGTGCTCAGTCTCTTGATCACTGTGTGCCTCCTGCTGGGGGCCTACCCCAGACCCTGGGACAAAGGTGACCGGGAGCTTCCTGGGCAGCTTCAAGTCTCCCTTACCAACTGACAACCCTGTGAGGCAGGAGTTCCCAGCAAGAACCCGGGAGTGGAGGGGACCGGGCCCAGCTGCTCAGCAGCCGTGCGGTGCAGCCTGAGGTCAGCCTTGGCCCAGCGCCAGCATTTCACGCGCAGCAAAGGGGCTGGGTCCTGAGACAGTGGCAGGTGTTTTGTCCGCACTGAATGGTGGCTTAGAACCTCACAGGTCACTGGTGGGACTGGAGGGAAAGTTACGGGCACAGGGTCTCCCTTGGGGGTGATGCAATGTTGGAGGTGATGGCTGCACCCGCGCTGAAGGCCAGTGGGTGGTGTCCCTCCATGTCATGTGACTTCCACCTGGTCAGGCCAGTGGGTGGTGTCCCTCCATGTCATGTGACTTCCACTTGGTGAGGGAAAAGTAAAAAGAAAGAAAACCTTAACAAAAGTCTATTTGGCATGAGGTTTCCAGAATGAGTGGAGACAAAACGGACTGTTGGCTGGGAGGGGGTGACCGATAGAGGCCACGGGTCCCCTTGGGGCAGGAGCACCTAGGACAGTGGCACAGCTCTGCGTGCCTGGGAACCACCCTGAGGCGGGTGCAGGCCTGTGGGTTCTTTCTCAGTGAAACCGTTGTGGCCAAGGAGACCCAGGGACCATGGCAGGGAGAGGCTGCCCGGCTGGGCTGTCAGTGAACTGAGGGGTGCGTCGCTTGCCCCGGGTCCTTGGCCACCCAGGCTCCCTGAGGCTCCAGCCGGGCCTGGTGTCTCCACAAGGGCAGGCCATGTTGGACCAATGCTTTGTCCATTTTGCAGACCTCAGGGCACCCCGCTGCTCTTGCTGGTTAGTGGGGCTGTCCATCTGGGCATCAGAGGAGGCACTGAGCAGCGGCAGGCAGGGGTGGCCACCCTGAGACTGCCAGACTAGGGTGAGTGTAGATGTCCTGCAAAGTCCCCAGGTGGGGACTGCAGCAGAGAGCCCCATGATCAGCACACATGCTGATCATCTGCACCCAGCAGGCCTGCAGCAATGGCTTGACACCGGCTCATCAGAGATAGTCAGTCAGGTATTGATTAGTGCTTAATTAACAGGTTTATCTCTGACTCCCTGCCCCTATTTTGTGTGATCACAAACACCAGATTCTCAAGGAATCTTCTAGAAGGTGGTCCTCATACTCCATGGGACATGCAGCCATAACTATGTTGAGAAATTACAGATTCTCCCATTTCCAAGAAATAAAACTGTGCGAGGACAGAATCCTGCCAGTGCTAAATTCCGGCCCAGGGCTTTCTCTCGGGTCTCTGGGGCTTCCTCCCAGCACGGCGGAGCCAGGGCAGGAATGCCTGGAGCCCACGGGCTCTCTGCAGCTTGCTTCATTTCCTGGAAGCATGTCTGGTGGCGGTTTATATTTCTGTGTCTGCATACAAGACAGAGTCACCTTCTCTGGGAAAGTTGTTCCTGTTAGCACCGAGGGATTTTGAAGAGAGCAAACCCGGTCTCTCCCAAGATTCAAGGGTTTCCAGGCTTAGCCCGTGGACGCCCAGTGACAGGTGCTGCAGGGAGAGGGATCAGGCAGCTTAGGGCTACAGAGGACTCAGTGTGTCCCCAACAGGCGCCCAACCCCGTCCTGAGCATGCTGGTGTCAGGGGCAGGGCCTTTGACAGGTGACCAGGTCATGAGGGTGCAGACCCCACAATGGGATCAGTGCCTTCTAAGAGGAGGCCCCAGAGAGTTCCCTGCCCCTTTCTCCATGCAAGGACGCAGTGGGAAGGTGTCATCCGTGCGCTAGAAAGCGGGTTCTCCCCAGACGTGGAGCCTGCTGGCACCTTGATCTTAGACCTGCAGTCCCCAGACTGGGGCAGTGGTGCCTTGGCCACTGTGGCCTTGGCCAGCCGACAGGACTGAGTGGGAAGAGGCCGCCAGAGCAGAGCTGGGGGCAGCCCACAGCCGCCCACACCTAGGGTCATCCTGGGCCAGAGTTGATGGGGGGTGACTGACAGGAGGGCATCGGGGCACTCCTGCCGCAGGACTCATTGGTGTCCCCTGTCATGGCACCCCTGGGGTGTGGCACCACCCTGGCATGGGCTCCCTGTGCCCACATGCAGGACGCTGGTCGATAACGAGAACACACACGTTCTGCAGCACATCTGACACGCCGGGCCGGGGGATTGGTGCCAGTGATGTTTGTTGAATGAATGAGAAAGGTCCGGAGGGCCAAAGGCAGCCGCAGTGCACCAGCCTCCGCTCTCGGTCTTGCTGGGTGTGCAGGATCGTGGGCACGAGGCCTCAACCCCACCACCTCTGCTTCCCGTCCCCCTTCTCATTCCTCCCGTATTCCCCCAGGACCTCCCACTCGCGGGCCAAGGCTGAGGCCGCCCTCACCGCGGCTCAGAAAGCGCAGGAGGAAGCCCGGATCGCCAGGATCACTGCCAAAGAGTTCTCTCCTTCCTTCCAGCACCGGGAGAACGGTGAGTCTGCTGCCCCCCAGGCTTCCAAGGCTGGGTGCACGCCGGGCGGTCAGGCATGAGATGTGTCCCCGTGCCCCAGGCCAGCTGGACTCACATGGGTTCTGCCCCAGAAGCTGACATCCTGCTGGTGGCCACCGCTTTTACTGGCGCTGCATGTCCCGGCAGGGCCTCCTCAAAAATTTCAGGTGGCCCCAGGGTCCATGTGTCTGTTTCCAGGTGTGCTGCCTCTCCCTGTCTGCTGCCGTCTTTCTAGAACATTCTGTGATAATGGATATCTCCGTCTGTTTGCTGTCACGTGGCAGCCACTAGCCTTGCGTGGTGAGAGAGACTAAGGAGCTGGGCCCAGTTTCATTCAGTCCTAACTTGTCTGCTTTTAGATGCAAATGGCCTTGTGTGGCCACTGGCTGCTGCATTGGCAGGTGAGGCTCTGAGTACTGGACAGCAGCTCCTTCCATGTCCCATCAGGTTCAGGAACCTCAGCCTTCCCTGCAGGAGCCCATGTGGACCGTGTGCTGTCTTCTGGACTCCATACGACAGGCCCAGGGTCATGAAGGCCTGCTGTGGTGTGTGGTGGAGGGGCTGTGCTGGCAGAGGTCACAGAGTCCTGGCCCACTGGCTCCCAACCTGGCCTCTCTGGGAAGCCAGGGGACAGGGCTCCCTCCTGTCTGCACCTCTGACCAGCACACGGGAGGGCTGAGTGGAAAGCTGCTGGCGTCTGGGGATGGATCCAACCCTGCAGCCCTGAGCTGCCTCCTGGCCTCGGGGCAGGGACGGTCCCCTGGGCCAGCAGACAAATTGGTCCTCGCTATCTGTTTTCTCTGGTGTCCTGCCTGTACTGGCCCCAGGGCGCCTTCCCCAGGTGCTCCTGGCCCAGACATGGAATGTGGCCGTCCTCCTTCCGCACTCTTCCCTGGCTGGGTGCCTGCTGCTCCTAGCTAGAGGTACAGTCAGGAACACAGAGCACCCCTGGTCCCCACTGCCTGTGGCTGAGTCGGTGGGCTCTGCTTTGTCCTTGATGGGACCTCAGCTGTGACCTTGGGCTAGGAAGTGGCGTCCTGACAGGTCTGCATTCTTGTGAGTTGCCCACCCCTCGTCCTCCAACCCCAGCCTCTTCTCTGGACACACTGGGCCCAGGTGTGTGAGCCGGGTGGACACAGGCCACCAGCCCTGTGCTCAGACCATTAGGCGCCTGGTGACACCAGCCACACGAAGAACCCTGGAGGACTTAATGCACAGTCCCCACGCATGGGTCGCCCAGGTCCCTTGCACAGGTCGCGAGCTGACTCCACTGCTGGGGCTGTTCTTGGCCTCTCAGAGCCTCGTTTCTCCATCTGTGAGGGAAAGGGAGGGCCACAGTGTCTGAGGCTCCTGGGTGCGCTGAATGGCCCAGGAGCATTGTCCACCTGCGGCTCCAAAGAGGACTGTGTTGGGAGGAAGGGCTACCTAGATGCAGTTAAGGCCAAGATGGGGAGGTGGGATCATCCTGGATCAGTAAAGCTCTAAATCCAGCCTGGAGTTTTCTTAAAATACCGCCCAGAGACACCCAAGCCAGGAGGGTGTGGCCACAGCCCAGGGGTGCTCACCAGAAGCCGCAGAGAGGCCAGGAGCAGATTCCCCTAGCGCCCTGGCAGAGCCCCACCCGCAGCTTGGCTTCAGAACCCCACCCCTCAGACCCCCAAGAGAGAACGTCTGCTGTTTTGTGCGTAGTGTGTGGCCCCGTGACCCTGGTGTGGGCCCTGGAGCCCTGGCAGGCGGATGCTAGGCCCGGAACCATGGGTCCGGCTGGCCAGGCCTTGGCTGCTGTTTCGGGCCAGAAGCTGGCTCCTGGAAGCGTCCCTCTTCCTCGGGACAGGACTGAAGCTAGGGCTGCTGAGGCAGCTTGAGCCCGGGCTCCATGCAGACAGCATGAAAGGATCGAGGCCAAACTGGGAGCGTGTGCAGCTCAAGGCCAGAGCCTTCTTCTTGTGTCCTGCTCTTGGGCTCTGGAGCATGGCAGCATCACAGGAGCGCTGTGGGCACTGGACACTGCCCGGCCTTGGCCCAGGGACCTGGAGGACCCGGGCCTGCCCTCCCTTCCTGTCCACCGGGTCCTGCTTCCAGGAGCCTCTGGGGTTCTTGGCTGTCCCTCCTGGGCCTTCCCTCCACAGTGCCTCCTGCCAGGAGTTGGATCCTGTATCTCTGATTAGTGCTGAGTCTTCTGTGTAGAGAGTACTACAGGCAAATGAGCCCAGGCCAGGGACTGGGGGCCATTGAGGCCACTGGGCATCTTGCAGCTACTCCTCACAACCAGAAGCTGCATCTCCTCTTGGCAGATGAAGCCAAGGTTGAGCGCAGTAGCTGGCCCGAGGTCCTGGAAGCCAGGAGGCAGAGCAGGGCCTGGCTCCCCACCCTGAGCTGCACCTGCTCGGACAGCAAATCCCAGAGTTTCAGCCGGGGAGAGGGCCACCCCATATAAGCCGCCTGCACCTGGAGGACCTGCAGCCTTCACCGGGGAAGTGGGGACATCCAAACCAGGAGCCTGGTTTTCTGCCGGGCAGTGTCCAGTGCCCACAGCGCTCCTGTGATGCTGCCCATGCTCCAGAGCCAAAGAGCAGGACACAAGATGAAGGCTCTGGCCTTGAGCTGCACATACTCGATCCTTTCATGACGTCTCCAGGAGCCACAGCTCTGTGCCGTTAGCTTGAGCTGAGCGCCACCTCCCCACACGGCAGTACTGGCAATTGGGGTGCCAGCCTTCCTCTAGGCCTCACAGGAAAGGCCACAGGGCCATCTGCAGACTCAGTGTCCCAGCTTGCCAGACCCCTGGTGTCTGGGCACAGGGTTGGTGGCCCTCAGAAGCCCAACCCCAACCAAGGGGGTGGTGTGGTGAGGCACGATTATGGGGGCTCTGAGAGTGGGGCCCTGAAGAGAAGCAGGCGAGGTGGGAACCCAGGCTGGGAGGTGGACGCACGGGTCTGGTGTGGTTCTGCATGGACCCATCCCCAGCCTGGCTCTCTGTGTGGATACCATGGTAGCCCCAGCCCTGTGACCACAGAGGACCAGTCACTGGAAGGGGCTCGGAGACTGCCTGGCCCACATCCCCATGACTCACGGGGACACCAATCTAGGGGGCTGTCCCTGGTCCAGGGCCACATGCCAGGGTCACCACCCTGCCCTGCTCACTGCTGCCTGGGCACCTGAGATGAGATCAGGGACACAGTCTTGTGTTGACATGTGAAGTGACTGTGCCACTGTCACTGGGGCCTGGCCTGTGCGGGGCTGAGGACAGACATCAGAGGCTGGGGTGCCAGCCCTGCGGAGGTCTGCTGGCCAAGGAAGTGTGGGTGCCTGGGCTGTCTGCGCCTCCAGGCACGGGCTGGGACTCGACTGAGGCAAATGTCTGTTCACTGTGGAGGCCTGAGCAATGCAGGGAGGGGCCGGACCTGGCCTCATGCTGGCCCCAATCCCAGGGGAAGGCACACGCCTGAGGCAGTGGGGTTGGTAGTGACACGCCGTGACACGCCTGGCGTCACCAAGCCTCAGGACCTGTAGGAGGCCAGCCAGTGTGTGATGAGGGACCAGGCTGAGGGCTGTCCACTGCCATTGCTGTGACCTGGGGCCGCCCAGGCATCCTTAGAGTGCACAGTGGGTAGCGTGCCCCACCAAAGGGCCCTGGGAGCCCCTGTTACCAGTCTCTCCCTCGGCCCCTGCGCCTCCCCTGAGCAGGGAGCACCCTGCCCTGGGCCTTCCTGCCCTGGGCCTTCCTGCCCCGGGGCCTTGGAGGAGCAGGCTCAGGGTGACCCCCACTGTGTCTCTTTCTCGTCACCAAGGGCTGGAGTACCAGAGGCCGAAGCAGCAGGGCTCCTGCGATGACATCGAGGTGCTGTCCACCGGCACACCGCTGCAACAGGAGAGCCCCGAGCTGTACCGCAAGGGCACCACCCCTTCAGACCTGACCCCGGATGACAGCCCGCTGCAGAGCTTCCCCGCCAGCCCCGCAGCTACGCCTCCGCCGGCCCCCTCCAGGAGCAGGGCGGCCCACTTCTCACGACAGGTCTCAGTGGACGAGGAGCGAGGCGGGGACATCCAGATGCTCCTGGAGGGCCGGGGAGGGGACTACACCCGGAACAGCTGGGGTGAGGAGAAGGCAGGGGGCTGCAGGGGCGTCCGCAGCAGCGCCCTGCGCAGCAGCCAAGGCACCGAGGACTTCCGCACCCGGGGCGCGGGCCACAAGCAGCCCGGGAACCCCAAGCCCCGGGAGCGGCGGACGGAGTCCCCCCCAACATTCTCGTGGACTTCCCACCACCGGGCGGGCAACCCTGGCTCCGGGGGTGCCAAGCTGCAGGAGCCCGACGAGGAGCAGCTGAGCAACTACAAGCTGGAGATGAAGCCCCTGCTGAGGATGGACTCCTGCACACCAGAGCCGCACCCCCAGAGGAGACGCCACGGCCGGGGCGCGGGGGGCGACCGGCGCCCCGAGGACCGGGGCTTCGGGCTGCAGAGACTGAGGTCCAAGTCCCAGAACCAGGAGAACCTGCGGCCGGCCTCCTCTGTGGAGCCTACCGTGCAGAAGCTGGAGAGCCTGCGGCTGGGGGACCGGCCTGAGCCCCGGCTGCTGCGCTGGGACTTGACCTTCTCCCCACCCCAGAAGTCTTTGCCTGTCGCACTGGAGTCCGATGAGGAGAACGGGGATGACCTCAAGTCCAGCACAGTAAGTGGCCGCCTCCCCGGCCCCAGGGGTGGGAATCCAGGGTTGTCCCCCAGCTTCTGACCTGTGGCCCCCTGCAGGTCTCTCTCGAGCGCCTCTCCAGGGGTGGGTCTCCTATTGCTCTGGGTCAGTGGCGAGAGGAAGGCAGAGGACCAGGACAGAGTGCCTCAGTGGGCTGGCCCTGAAGACCTTTCATCTGTGCCGGACACAGGGCCAGGCACTCACTGGGCCATGGGAGGAAGCAGATGTCTGTGCTGCTCCCAGGAAGCCAGAGTCCAAGGACAGCCCCTGGGTGTCCCCCTCGCTCCTGACCTCCTTCACCCTGCAGCCACGCTCTCCCCATTCTCCCAGCACAGTCCCAGAGTGCAGTGCCCCCTGGAGTGCAGTGCCCGTTGACCCCATAGGTTCTCAGGCCCCATCCTGGCCTTTGGGGTCAGGCTCAGACCACCCAGGTTGCTCACACCCTGTGGGAGGCCGGGGCGTGCTCCCATTTCAGGACCTCACCTGAGACTCCTGCTTCATCCGGGCAGATCTTCCCCACCTGAGTTCCCTGCGGAGGGTGGGCATTTGGGGGGAAATAGCCCCTGGCTCAGAGCCAGACGGGGCTGGGGGTCTCAGGGTCTTGCACAGGTTATACCCAGAGGGGAGCCAGGACCTGCTTCCTTGGCTGAGGGCCATGTGGATGCAGGGTAGGTAAAATGGAGAAGGCCAGAGGTCTTCGGCAGGACCCCAGCTTGCCTGCCCATAGGCACAGGCAATGCCCAGACCTCTTGGTTTCTTTCTTCACTGGTAAAAAAAAAATTCTAAAGGCTGCTGCTCCACAGGGCAGACAGGAGATGGGCTCACCCAGGCGGGGGTGGGACCCACAGTGTGGGCTCAGGAGGGGGCCCCCCTGCAGGTGTGTTGCCGTGGCTACAGCAGGGCTCCTGAGCGATAGTCTCTGGTACCCCCAAAGGTACTGTGGCCTGCGAGGCCACTTCCGCAGGTCCCTAAAGCGCCTCCCCTCCTTAGACACCCACAGCAGCCCCCGTGGCTCCTGCTGGCACTCACGCTCATCCTCCCTGTCGCAGCAGGCAGGGTGCCTGCGCGGGGCTATTTTGGGATGGAGGAGTGATGGGCAGGGGTGGGAGGTGCGGATCGTCGCTATATTTAGCCCACTGAGCCCCACTGGCTCTTTTGGGTGCTTTCGACACTAAGCCCCCTCTGGCTGGCGTGCCAACGTGGGGCCAGCCTCGGCCAGCTCTGGAGTGGGGTGGCTGCAGGCAGAGGCAGGGGCTGCAGCCCAGCCATGGTTGGTATTCCCCCTCAGCCCCAGGAGCCAAGATGGAGACTCCAGGGCCCACCCTGGGGTCCCAGCTTCCTGCCCAAAGCAGGCAGGGTCTTGTTCACTTGCTCCCACAACCTGGGGACATATTCTGGGGGCTGTCACTGGGTCTGAGGGGAGGTGGCCTGCTCCACCAACATTCATGGTGGGGAAGTGAGTGGCTGTTGGGGTGACGTGGGTGCTGAGGTCCGAGGCCTGCTGCATCCCCTCCCTGGGGCACAGCTCTCCACAGTTCAGGCTGCTCTGGGCTGGCAGCAGGGCCAGAGGTGGGATGTCCTGTCCAGCAGCGTTCCCCTCATCCAGGGACTCTACCCCTTACCACCGTCAGGGTAAGTGGGCAGAACGGCAGTCCCCGCCCTGATGAACGCATCTGCTCCACCTGCTTCTCTGGGGCTGTCCAGGGTTCCTTGCTGCGAGGGCAGCAGGGGTGGAAAGGAACCTGGCCATGGAAGGCCCCAGGTCCTGGCAATTCAGGGTGAAGTTATCGTGGGCAGGAATGTCCAGGCTTTCCCTCCGGCTGTGCCAGCAAGTGAACTCCACAGCCTCCACTAGGCCCTTGAGTGTTTCTGGGCCTGATTCCCTGTAGAAGGAAGGCTGTGGCACAGGTGCCAGCTCTGGACTCCCCCACAGCAGGGGACAGCTAAGGCTCAGCAACCTGGTTGATTCCCAACACCCTCCCCCCAGCAAATCTCTGCTGCCAGGAGTCCAGTGAGCAAACTCAATGCCAGGCTGTGAGCTGCAGGGCAGGGTAGGCGGCCAGACCAGGGTGCCCCTGCCTACAATGCAGATGGAGCCCAGTGGGCCGGTGGATCTGGGGGCCACGCAGGCCCAGCTCCAGAGCTAAGTGGGCCGGAGACCTGAGGCTGGGCTCTGAGGGCATCTTTTGCCATCGTGGGTGAGATGGCTGCCGGCTGTCCAGCTCTCACAGACCCTGCGTGAGGAGCGGCGTGGTGGCATGCTCTCCACCAGCACCCTGCCTCACAGAGCGTCCCAGGCCCTGCAAGAGCTGTGTCACCACAGGGTGACAGCCAGCAGCATTAGGCAGCCTTTCGACAGGATAACAGGGCACGCCCAGCCCTGTGAGCCAGGAGAGGGAGGGCGAGGGCCTGGCCACCCAGGCGTTGGAAAGGTGAGCACCGGGAGCCGGGGCAGGGATGGACCTTCCTTGACCACAAGGACAACCATGTCACTCAGCTGGCCATGCAGCCGGGAGAACTGCCTGACTTGGGGACAGAAAGAGCTACAGGCTGGCTGGCAGCCAGACAGGAGGAAGGCGAGGGCAAGATCAGGCTGCTCCTCTGCAGCTGGGGGTGGGGAGCCCACATGTGCATGGGGAGGAGCTGCAGCTGTGCCTCCAGGACACCCCAGGGTTCAGGTGGCCCTGTGAGGCTGCATCTAGAGGACTCTGAAGGAGCCACCTCCTCCATGAGGGGGTACCCATCGTTTTAGCTGACAGCTATGTTGAGAATTCACGCACCATACGGCTCACCTGTCCAGGGCAGGCAGTTTGGTGGTTTTAGTGTATTTAGGCTGTGTACCCATCACAACTGTCTGACTCTCAGACTACTGCCATCCTCTATAAAGACACTGCAGACCCACTGGGCCGTCCCTCTGTCCCCACTCTGGGACTTGCCTCTGCTGGACGTTTCACACTGATGGGATCATATGGTGAGCAGCTTTTTGCTGCTCACCCAGCATCAAGACCCGGTCCACTGTTGGGGCACACGCCAGCTGCACTCCTTCCTGTGGATACCCTCTGCACGGGCAGCCACATCTGCCGTGGCTGCTCACGTCTGGGACACATGGTGTGCTGCCACTTTCTGGCCAGTGTGCTGTTGCCACGAGCAGCATGGATGCGTTTCATTTTCATTTCTCTTGGGTCCTCACCTAGGAGGGAACCCTTGGGGGAACTGCCAGACTCCTCCAGCCTCATCTGAGAGGAGAGGAGCAGGCGTTTCCTTTCTGGGGAGAGGCATTCCAGCCCCCTCCCTTGCCTGTATTGCAAGCCTGATGCCACCAGGGCCTGCTCAGTCTGGGAAAGCCAACCTCATCATGGCTCTGACGTTTGGACACAAGGGGAGGAGAGGGGCAGGGAAGCAGCTGGGGACCCTAGCGCAGGTCATCTCCACTGCAGGAGATGTGGAGGCTCCCGGCCACTTCTTTACTTGGGTGTAGCCAGTGTGTGTATGTGGGGGGGCGGGCAGAGGTCTTCTGGGATCAGGCCACCACTATGGGCACACCCGGGGCTGGGCTGCTGTGCCCGCCTCCAGGAGGTGGCCCGCCCTTCCCCGGTGCAGCAGGTCACTGTGCCTTCAGCATTGCGGTGACACTTGGTCTTGAGGAGCAGCCTCACAGGACAGAGCTGCCAGCATCCTCTCCTGAGGTCTACCTCAGAGGCCTTGCCTCCACCTGTCCCTGCCCAACAGGGGCAGCCTGCAACTTAAGGGCCAGGGCCAGGCACTGACGCGGGGCATGGGGAGGGGCTGGGCTGCACCTGAGACAAGCACCCTGAATGGAGCCTGGAAGCTGGGCTCCTAGAAGAGTCAGCTGCTGCAGTTGCTCGGGGGCAGTGGCTTGTGAGTGTGAGTGAATTAATGGGAAGGTGACTTCACGGAGGACTGCTGAAGGGCTCTGAACTTGAGGGCCACTCGGCGTGGGAGCACAGCTGGTGCTGGCTGGCCACCGCGAACCGGCGGGTGCTGTGACACCATGCTTCGATGTCCTAGCAGCTGGAGGCATCTGTTGACTAACCACTGTGACACAGGGTGTTTGGGGAGCCCGGGCTTTTGAAAAGGGCTCTCACTGTCCTGGCCCTCCACGCCGGCACACATGGTGACCCACCTGTGCTCTCTTCCAGGGCTCAGCTCCCATCCTGGTGGCCATGGTGATCCTGCTCAACATCGGAGTCGCCATCCTGTTCATCAACTTCTTCATCTGAGAGACTGTCCCGCTCGCAGAAGCACCGGTATGCAAAGGGGGAACTGGAAAGGGAACGCCCCGCTCGGACAGCCCCGGGACTTCCAGTCTTTTCACAGAAGAACACCACGGTTGGGTATTACTCACAGTTTGCCTTTTTTTCTGGGTAATGTTTTTTGGATTTTAGCCAAAATTCTTTGCTTGTGTAACACTATGCTGTGTGGCATGGCAGAAGGAGGCCAGCACGCCGACCCTCCCGCTTGACGTGGAAAGAGAAGGGATCCGGCACACCAGCGGCAGAGAAGTCGTGGTCCTCGCCCTTCCCGCTGGGTGTGGACAGAGGTGGCGGTCGAGGAAGCGCTCACAGGGTACCCAGCTAGCCAGGCTAACACGGAAGGCGGAGCGACTTTGCTTTCCTCTGTCTGAACAGCTGGCCTTGAGCATGGGCGCCAAGCATGGGGAGCAGGGTGTCCTGTCCTGCTGGGAGCAGCCCAGGCCTTTTTCTACTTCAAATCTGTGCTGCATCCTCAAGGGGAAGGAGAACCACGCTTCTCTTCTCCCACACACCAGACCACGGCCTCCCTCCTCTTGGCACTGCCCCATGGCCTCCTTGTGAGGCCACCTCCCCACACCGAGTCTTAACACAGAGTCCTCCCTGCCCCACCCCACTCTCTCACCATCACCGCCGGCCGTCCGCTCAGCACACACAGGGAGGCTGTGCTGCAGGCGTCCGGGGTGACCCAGATCTGGCTGGCACAGCCAAGTGCTGCGGGGCTGTGCCCCAGGCGTGAGGGCTGGGGCCCACTGTGCCATGGACAGTCTGACATCATGCCTGGGCTCTGAGCATGTGGCACTTTTGCACTTAGTATGCAGGATGTATATTCAGGCTTCCGTCCCTGGCAGTGGCGCCCCAGAAGCTGTCACCTCTTGCTGTTACCTCCACGGTTCTCACGTCTCTGTACTGTGCCTGCCTCCACTTCCCCAACAGATATGCATATTCCTTCCACATGCCTCAGTGCTACTCCAGCGCAGTTCTGGCCCCGGGACAGGAATGTCATTGAAACCCAGTGGCTTGACTTTCCTAGACGTTGTTGCATACCTGACACCTCCCCCATGTGCAATGTTCAACTCGTTTCGGTCAAACAAAAACAGGTTCCTTACGTTTCTGCCTTCTCTACCAGGGTCGTTCCATTATCCAAACAAACGAGGGATGCCAGACCGTCTGGTGGCCGAGGGCGGCCCAGGCGTGTCCGTAGGCAGGAGCCTGCGCGCATGCCTGGGAGGCCGGCGCTCAGTCCGTCTCATGGACCCTGCCTTGCTTTGCTTACGTTAGCCGTCTCTGCTGCCTTTCGAGCAGAGCTTCTTTACTACACTGCACTGGATTGCTATATTTTTAACCAGAAATAAACTAAAGATTAGAGCATGTTGCAGTCACATTCAGTTTCTATTGTTTTCCGTTATCCATTCACTCCCCGTTCCTTCTCACAGTTTGGTTTGGGGGGCACAGGTGAGGGAGGGATGCTCAGCAGATGATCCATTTCTGACAATGTTCCTTTCTAAAGGGATATTACATCTTTTGTACATCTTTCCGTTCCTCTTTTTTAATATCAAGTGGTTGCTGCAGACCTGAAGTGAACCAAATAAAGATTCCTGCTCTTTGCAGCTCTAAGAATCATCCATGTTGGGATGTGTTTTGTAATTGTTTGCAACTCTTTGTAAAAACAATGAGACTTCTTTTGTACATTCCAGTAACTGCATGACACAAAGGGGACCTACAAACGCAGGTGGTTCCTTGCAGGCCATGCCACAGGTATGTGAGAAGCAGAGCACAAACCTGAGGCTGGGCAGGGGCACATGTGCCTCCACACCCATGCTCGCAGATGCGTGGCCAGCACAGCACTCTCTGCTGCCAGTGACACCACCGACAAGACCAGACCCTGCCCAGAGCTTTGTCTGCAGTCTGCAGCAACTGCAGAGGGGAAGCCATCTCCCCTGTTCCTGGTGCAGTCCGAGGATCTGAGCAAGGCCAAGATCCACTGGGTCTGGCGTCTAGATAGCTGGTTTCCAGCTGGTGCATGCACCGGTGGCTGCACCTGTCCAGAACCCCCACTTCCCCCACAGGGTCCTGGTGGGCCATTGTGGGGCCAGATGAGCACGGCAGCAGGCAGACCAAGCACCAGGTCCCACACTGGCTCCCAGTGCACAGAGCCACATCCTAAGAACCATTTTCTTCCTGTCAGCCTCTTGCCTGCTCCAGGAGGGGAAACCAGATGCAGAGAGGAACCTCGTGTGTTTCCCGAGACCCTGCTACTGGGCTGCCAGGAGTGGGAATGCCGCTGTGTTCCCACAGCTGAGCAGTGTCCTTCATGGAGACTTTGAGGACTCCCTGCACACTGGACTTCTGTCAGTCATGTAACACGCATGGGTCATTCCAGAAAAACGCTCATCCATTCTTTTGGATTCTAGGTTTTGTAACTGCTAGCACACAGGTTCCCCAAAGATAAAGATGAAGCCTGCAGCACAGAGCCCGATGTAACTGAAGGGGAAGACAGTGGCACAGGAAGTTCTGCATGGTGCCCCAGGGCAGTGCTCGCTGCCCAGACTCTTCGGGGGTGGGGCCCACAGGGACACAGACTGATGCTCCTTCTGCACAGCCCAGTCCATCGCCCAGCCAATAAACTGCTCTTTTTTGAAACCCTGCTGCACAAGGTGTGAGCAGACACGTACACTCCTCCCTGGATGGCCTGGAGGCACTAAGCCCAGGATTCCTCAGTGAAGTCTCAGGCCAGGCTGCGCTGGCTCCCCCCGCCACCACACCTCCCTCAGGCTGTGGCACTTGGACAGGGTGGCCACACACCCTGGCCCCAACCCTCCCTGCTCCTCTTCACCCGCAAAATGGCTCCAGTTTAGACAGACTACAGGGCACCCCACATGAAGACGGAAGGACGTGGTCCCGAGCCTGCAGGTGCCAAGCCTGAGGTACCTGGGTGCCAAGAAGAGTATCTGGGAGACACAAGAAACATTTCGGCTTTGGGTGCTTGTTTAGCTTGGGTTTGGGGCTGTCCGACACTTTTGAGTGTCGGCACCAGTATTACTTCTCTGGCAGGCCTGTACCCACGTGGACCTGCGGGCTGCAGCGGCCAGGGCTGCCCTCCAGGGCGAACAGCACCACAGGCCAGGACCTCTGATCTGCTCCAAAACATCACGGGATGGTTACTCATGTCACTTCACCTGTGCAATAAAACACTTCACGACAACAGCGCCAGGGGCACCTCTCTCTCCTAGATAAAGCTCAGTTTCTTTAACTCTTCACAGGTCTCGTCTTCCACCCTTCTTGCCTTTGGTCTCAGAAAATCAGCATAAAGGTGCCTACGAGACCCTCCTACATCTCCACAGCTTGTTGTGCTATGTGGCTCCTGGCTTCCCTGCCGACCGGAAGGTTCAGCTGTCGCATCTGCGCCTCACAAACCAGAGAGAACAGACTGCTCTCAGGAGGTCCCCTCCACCTTGCGCAGGACGAGGACCGCCTCCTGGACTCCAGGCAGAGGAGGGAGTGAGTCTGAGCTCTGCTGCCCAGGAACTCAGGTGTGCACCCAGCTCTGTCCCCTTGCCCAGGCCTGCCAGGCAGGCAGTGCAGACTGAGAAAACAATCTTGTCCCCAAGTGCCAAGACGCGTCGCCAACTCAGCCTTAAAAGAAGCAAGAAACAGTAAAGTTGCCTTTGTTTCGGAGAAAAAAGCTGATCTGCATTTTCCCAGTGCAGCACCGTGCCTGAGGCACAACTCAGGGACAGAGATGTCTGAAAGGCAGGAAAACAGCCTGCAGCCCCAAGCCCCTGTGCCGGCCCTTCCTGGGGAGCTGCAGGACAATGGCACCTGAAGAGATGCAGGTAGGAGGGAGCAGTGTGTGGCAGAATGGGTATGGCCCCTGGAGGACCCTGGGCGCGATTCTTGGAGGAAGGCTGGAGCACGGGACCCTCAGCCCGGCCAGGTACAAAGGCTGGCTGTGCTGCTCTGTGAAAGCCCGCCGGAGTCCTGAGATGCAGAGAGTAAGCAGCCCACTGGGGCGTAAGCTGCGTGTGGAGCCTGGGTGCTGGGTGCTGGGTGCTGGGAGGGCAGGGCAGGCGGTACCGTCACACTACCTCACTCTGGCCATGCCCGGCCCACACGCCCTTGCCCTGCCCTGGCTCAGGAACCAACATCCCACCTTGGCTGCAGGTTCCAGTGGGCGCCCTCAGGTCTGCACCCAGCGCCACAGGGGGACATGCGCCTCTAGCTGCCACCACTGCTTGGTGACAGTTGCAGCCCAAACCAGGAAAGCCTCCTAGACCCCATGGTGGCTAAGGCAGGGTCTCCGCTGGATGCTGCTCATCGTCCCTGCAGGAGCACCAGGAGCACACCACGTTCTGCCTGCTCTGGTGACCTTGCCTCACCCGGGATGAAGTTCAGATCACACGGAGGCCGGAGGCACGCCCTGCAGCCCTCCGTGTGGCGGGATGTAACAGGTGAAGGCTTTCCACGGGGCGCTGTGCTCAACCTCGCCCGCCAATGTCACTCACACCAAAGGGTTGTCTCCCTCTCTAGAATGCCATCCACTTCACACTGTCCAGCCACCCCTCATTCACAAATGACCCTTCCACAGCTGAGTCCATTTAGCGGCTGCTGGTCAGCAAGGAGGGCTGATCTCCACTGCCCAGGGTGGCTCCTCAGATGTGGACTTAGGCTGGAGGGAGGAGACAGGTGTGAAGGTACAGTAGGGTGGTGTGGTATGCAGGGCACCCTCTATCAGTCCCTCCATCTGAGGCCAAGTGCCCAGGAGTCCCCAGCTATTTGCATGCAGGTCCCTGTGTAAGACCCACCCTCTGGAGCATGCCACACCCCAGCAGATGCAGCCTGCATGCCACAGGCTGTGGGCAACCATTGGGGCCAAGTGCTGTCCACCCAGCCTGCAGACAGAAGCTCCCTGGGGGCTGGGAGTGCCTGGCCCTGAAAGGCTATCCCACCTTTCTACTGAGCTGCCCCTGACCCACATGGCGTGGTGA